ATCCCCAGCCCTAATTAATGTCTTTTGACAAGAAACTTTGAAGCTGTCTAAATGCCCAGTTAAACATCAACCTTTACCCTTTAGATTTAATATCCATTGGTGAACCTCATTGGAATCAGTACTATGATAAATGATTTATATTTCTTCCTTTTTTATTTATTGAGCTTTTTCTTCTTCCTTAGTAATATCAGTATTGATTCTTACTGTATTAGACAGATTATAATTTTTACTTTAGTAGGATATAATGATGCTCAAATGGTTCAGAATTTGTTCAGGGCATCCTGCTAATCTGGGTTTTAATTCAAGACATTATTTTAGGCAATTTTCCTCCTCTCTTTGTATAGAGTTAAGTACCCAGGGTTATGGGGTGAATGAAATGCATCTACATTCCCAAATCTTCTGGCCAGGGTGCTGATTTCAGGATCAGCCTAATCCTGAGAGGTCAAGTATTTTATAATGTTTCTTGCCCTTGTTCTCTACAGGCATCCAGGGCATTGTGGATGCCTACCGCCAAGCCCTACCCCAAGTACGCCTCTATGGGCCCACCAACTTTGCACCCATCATCAACCATGTGGCCAGGTTTGCAGCCCAGGCTGCATATCAGGGGACTGCCTCGGTGAGGGTTGTGGGTATTGTACCAGTGGAATAGTGAGAGCTGTGCATCAAGGGACTTTTTATGTGTGGGAGTGTGTGGCTAAAGTAGAGGAGTTTGGGAAAGAGGATCTGACTCAGTACATGAATGGGCTTACCCCCAGCAATACTTCGTGCTCTTGCTGTTGACTGATGGTGCTGTGACAGATGTGGCGGCCACATGTGAAGCTGTGGTGCATGCCTCGAAACTGCCCATGTCAGTGATCATTGTGGGTGTTGGTGGTGCTGACTTTGAGGCCATGGAACAGCTTGACGCCGATGGTGGGCCTCTGAGGACACGCTCTGGAGAGGCATCTGCCCGCGACATAGTACAGTTTGTGCCTTATCGCAAATTCCAAAATGTGAGTGGGGGTGAATCTGGGGGTTTACTCTTCCTGATATGGGTTGAGGCTCAGGACTTTCATCAGAGTCTTAGGGTTGAGTCTTGGATTTTGTGTCCTTCCTTGGGTGTGAGATGTAGACTTTAGGAAGCTGTTGTAGGCCCCCACTGATCTTGCCCTTCTTCTCCTGGCAGGCTCCTCGTGAAGCATTGGCCCAGACTGTACTTGCAGAAGTGCCTACACAGGTGGTCTCCTACTTCAAGGCCCAAGGTTGGGCCCCATTCAAGATGCCTCCATCCCCCGCCAAGGGTCCTGTCCAGACCCCACAGGTCTAGATTCCCTTGGAGGGTGGGCTATGGCCAGACCTAGTCCTTAGCCTTGTACCCCCAAGATTCTCTGGGCCATGGCCCAACCCTAGACTCTCCCCCCATGCTAGCACTTTATATTTGATACTTTTATACTGGCTTCTGCTATTGCTGCTCTTCCTGTTTGTCCCTTATCATTTAATAAAGATCAGTAACAGACCACTGCTGTGCCATCACTCTGTATTTTGGGTAAGATTCCATTAGCAATGTTTACTTCTGAACTTCAGGGGTGCTGATCCTGAATGATGCCTAAAGATGGGTATTTCAAGCCAGATTTCTGTTCCTTCCAAAGAAGCTGAAACACAGGCCTTTCCTTTTAAGGTGTAACAGGCTATATTACACTTCCTAGAGGAGGGAGCAGTGGTAGTTCTGGTCCTAAATATAGGCTATAAAACCTGATTTTTTTTTTTTAACAGCAATTTTCTTTTTTTTCCTTACTAGATAGATTTAATACCTATATTCATTGTAGAAAGACTTTTAAGGGTGGGGCATGATGTCTCATTGTGTTGTCCAGGCTGGCCTTCAACTCCTGAACTTAAGCAATCCTCCTGCCTCAGCCTCACAAGTGCTTTGGACCACAGGCATATGCCACTGTGCCTTAGAAAGACTTATTTTTGTAATAGTAGGGATTGTACCCGAAGTGCTGTACTACTGGACTACAAGCCCAGTACTTTTCATTTTGAAACAAACAGGGTTTTGGGAAGTTGCTGAGGCTGACCTAAAACTTGGGATCCTCCTGCCTCAGCCTCTATGTAAATACAGAGTTATCAGCATGTGGGCTGGGGCTGGGGCTGAGCGGTAGAACGCTCACCTTACATGTGCAAGGCCCTGGGTTTGATCCTCAGCACCACATAAAAATAAATAAAACAAAGGTATTGTATTCCAATACAACTAAAAAATATTTTTAAAAAAATTAGGGCTGGGGCTATAGCTCAGTGGTAGAGCGCCCGCCTTGATGTGTGAGGCACTGGGTTCGATTCTCAACACCACATAAAAATTAAATATATTGTGTCCAAGTACAACAACAACAAAAAAAAAGTAAAAATAAAAAATAGACATGTGCCACCATGCCCAGGTAGAAAAGTTTCAAATATAGAAAAAATAGATACACCAAGATTCTTGTGTCCAAATTAAAATATATTTGGTGCTTTTAGTCCTTTATGCATATTTATAGGCCATGCGTACTGTTTTAGGATGTTTTATTTTCTAATTTTTAAAATATGTCCTAGTTAGTATAAATTATTTCACGTGTAAATATTATACAATGTAGATAATGCAGTAGGATAAAGGCCTCTGTTCTACACAAAAAAAGTTTTTCCTAAATAGGACATATTACATACTATTAGTACCTTATTTTTATTTAATATATTTTGGATGCCTTATCTATCAGAACTTATTGCCTCACTTCATTCTTTCTGACACTGGGGATTGAACCCAGGGTTGCTATATCACTGAGCTACATCCCCAGTCCTTTTTTATTTATTTTGGAGAAGGGGTCTCGCTATGTTGCCCATAAGTATTCTTTGAATATATATTTTTTTCTTGCTGATTGCTGGGGCTTGACACCACACACGGTCTTACATGTGTTAGGTAAAATGCTTTACCACTGAGCTATACAACCCCAGCTCTTTTTTTATGTTATTTTTTGAGACAGTCTTACTGTGTTACCCAGGCTCAAACTTGTGCTCTTTCTGCCTGGGAAGCCTCCCAGATAGCTAGGATTGCAGGTGCATGCCACTATGCCCCTATATCTGGGTATTCTTCAGATAACACTTTTAAATATGGAATTGCTATGTTAAAGAGTATAAAAAATGTAGGGGCTGGGGATGTGGCTCAAGCGGTAGTGCGCTCGCCTGGCATGCGTGCGGCCCGGGTTCGATCCCCAGCACCACATACCAACAAAGATGTTGTGTCCGCCGAGAACTAAAAATAAATAAATAAAAGTGCCTCAAAAAAAAAAAAATGTAAGGCTTTTGGTTCCTGTTGTGAGACTATCCTCCAGAAAAATCTGTATTATTTTGTATTTTCTTTTTTTTTTAGTATTTAGTTTTTAGTTATGGTTGAACACAATGCCTTTTATTTTTATGTTGTGATGAGGATCGAACCCAGGGCCTCACAGGTGCTAGACTGAGCACTCTACTGCTGAGCCACAACCCCAGCCTTCATTTTTTCGGTGCTGGAATCAACCCCAGTACTGCCTCATGTATATTAGGTAAGCATTGTATCTCTAGCTCAAGATTTTGAGAGCACTTAATTTGGCTTCAAATTAAGTACAAAATAATATCCCTGAAGTTTAAACAGATGGATAAGTATTCCACCCCAATACATTGGACAATCCCAGTTTTACTCTCTAGGGAACTATTGATAGTCTGTATGTTCTTATAAAACATGAACATACTAGCCTCGCGCAGTGGCATGTGCCTGTAATCCCAGTGGCTCTGGAGGCTGAGGTAGGAGGATTGAAATTTCAAAGCCAGCCTCAGCCACTGCAAGGCACTAAGCAACTCAGTGAGTCCCTGTCTGTGCCTCTGAGTTCAAGTGCCTCTGAGTTCAATCCCTGGTACCAAAAAAATAAATAAACCATTAATATACTGAGAATTGGGGCTTGGGTGTACCAGGGTTTGAACCTAGTAACTTAGCTTAAACCCTGACCCACATTTCCACTCTTTTAATATTTTTTTAGTTGTAGAGGGACATACAATATCTTTATTAATTTATTTTTATGTGGTGTTCTGAGGATCAAACCAGTGCCTCACACATGCTAGGCAAGCACTCTCTACCACTGAGCTACAGCCCCAGCCCCCCAAGTCCTTTTTTATTTATTTTACATTTTGTGACAGAGTCTCACTAAGTTGCTTAGAGTCTTGCTAAATTGCTGAGGCTGGCTTTGTACTTGAGATCCTCTTGCCTCAGTTTCCCATTGCCAGAATCACAGGCATGTGTCATCACACTGGGCCATACTGGGAAATCCTAACACCCAAGATGTTGCATATTTCTTTACTCTTGCTATGCCCTTTTCTCTACCCCTAGTAAAATTCATTAATCCCTTGATTGCCTGTCTCTTCCATCTATTTTCCTTGAATTCCTTTTGACCATTAGATTGAACAATTCTTGGATCTGTAAATAAATTCTCTTTCCTAGAGCATCTTCTTTATTTACCCTGCCAAACTCCTTGAGGGCACACACTGATGAACACTGGATGGTGAACATCCACACTTTGTCAAACAGAGTCAGTCACTCAGGTCTCAGTGAAGACTACCTTCATAAGGGCTACTAGGCCTGCATCACCTCTTTGATTCAGAAGCTTCCTTAAGTCTCCTTAGTGTTTGAAGAAATGTATTTTCCCCTCCATCTGTACCTAGTAGGATTTGGGAAGCTTCCCAGACATTGGGAAAGTCATTCCAGACATTGGTGGATGGGAATTGAGGAGTTCAATCATGTCTTCAGCTGCCTGTCAGCTCTGCAATTAAAGAGAGCGGCCCGTGGAGGTAACGTGTAGTACGGAATGTCCACACAGCTCTGGCTCTTGTACATGGTAAGCACTCCATGAACATTTGCTGCTATTATTTTGATCTGGACTTACTCTAAGAAAAGAGGATTCATTGGAAGGTAGACCCTATCATTTATATGCCAGAGATCTTTCCAGCCGAGACCCCCCTGGCTCAGTACTGATCTAGCTGCCTTCAGCACAGGGCTCAATTCTACTCCAACCATCAGCGTGTTTAATGGGACCCCCCAGTGGCCCCCATGGCACTATCCCCTGCCCCCTCTGAGGTTCGCACACCATGTGCGCGGACTCGATACAAGCATGTGAAACGTGGGTGGCCCCAGTTGCTTAGAATCTGGATCTTCACCTTTGGAAAGGCAGATGGAGGGTCATTCTGGGAAGACAAATGGATCATGCCAAAAAAAATGCTCTTCCAAGGGCTGCCCTCCCCAATCATCTCTCTGCTGCACTGCCTTAACGGTGAGAGATACACACCTGTAGATGGAAAGTCTGAATCTCAGATTTCTTCACATCAAAGGTGAATTTCCCCAAGAAAACTTCAGTCTCATCATCAACCTGAAGGCCCTGGTGGATGAAGAGTGAATGGAGGAACAGTGAGGCATGGGGAAGGAAAACAACTTTGTGGGGGTTCTTCTTCTATGTGTTTGGTAATTGTGAGTATTCTGATGATAGGATGCGTAGTGTGGAATGTGGGCTCTTAAAAAACTAGGTTTTTTAAGTCTGGCCAATAGTTGTGTTACCTGGGGAAAGTAATACCTCCTCTTCCAGAGTATTACTTTCCTTATATATAAAAGGGGAGATAATAGTATTTCATCAGTGGTGAGATGGATTCAATGAAATAATGCATGTAAAGTGCTTGGCCTAGAGAAAAGGCTCAATAAGCCATAACTAACATTTGGATATAGTCATGATTATTTATAACCTATAGCAGACCTGAGAGGCAAGTGGCTTTGTCTGATACATAGATGAGCAAGCAAAGCCTCAAATACCTGCCCTAGTTATTATGATCCGCTTTGTGCTTTCTAAGCATCCCCCACCTCCTGGCCTCAGTACCACTCACAAAGACTGCGAAGTCTCTGGGGGCGCTGTTGGCTCCCCCGGTGTGTGCCACACTGGGCGGTGGATGCTGTAGGGTGATGTCACTCAGCTCCACACGACCTGGCAACCTGATGACCACCTGACCCTGGTCGCCCTCAAAAGCCCAGCAATTTCCAGGGAACACATCTGGCTGCAGGCCGGGTAGGGGTGGTGGAGGGAAGAGATCATCAGAACCCACAAAAGAGAGCAACTGCTGTCCTTTCCCATCCTCTACTCCTCCCAGAGGGTCACTTCCAGTCCGGATCCCTATCAAGCCAGATGCCGCCCAGTGCTCAGTCCCCAGCGCTGTTAGGTGTCTTCATTTTAACCCCATCTTCGGCTTTCAGCACAGCCTCACCCGGGCCAAGCCAGACCGGGCTTTTCAGCCGGCCATACCCTTCTGCACCGCCAGGTTCCGCCTCCACGGAACTCCAGGTCCCGCCCCTTGATCTCATCCTGGGATCCCGATTACAGGCCCACCTCCAGGATGACCGAGGGCGGCCGCGCGTAGTTCCAAAAGCTGAAGCGGTTCCAGAAGTAGGCAGTGTTCGTGTCCTCGTAGTCGCGGGATGTCTTCTCTAGGTCGATGGAGGCTCCTGTAGTAGGGAGGAGTAACCCTCAGGAGTTCCCAGGCCTTACCCCCTGCTGGGGAAAGATCTGTGTCAGGATCTCTCTTTGCATGTCTCTGAGTCTTACCCACAGAGCTCAGCGCATAGTCGGGTTTCCTCACGAAGTCCTCATTCAGCCTCTGAAACACTAGCTTCGCCACTCTCTGCAGTGTGAAAGGGTGGCGGAGAGGCGGGCTTGTAAGCTGGTTTACAGGTGGGCCTGTCTCCCCAAACTGAGTGCTCTGGGATGGATTCTGTGGGCCCCCAGGAGAGACCCGCAGTGGGGACTGAATCCCGGGCCCCAGCAAGCGGGATCTGCTGCCGGTTCCCTAAGTGCGCGGGGACTGCGAGCGGGGCGGGGTCACCCAGCCTCTGAGCATCCTCGCTGCGCGACTCACCTCGCTGTGGGCTGCGCGAACACTGGACACCTCCTTGTGGAGCTTATCCAGCTCGGCCTGGAGCTGCTGCAGCTGCTGCCCCTGAGAGCGCACGCGCTCGTGGTACTCGCTGGAGAGAGGAGGTTAGCACCTGCAGTTGGCTTCCTGATCCGGGACCTCTCCCGTTAATGCCCAGAACGAAACACCTTTGAGCCGCTCAATACCCACCCCAAGTGCCCTCTTTCACCTTAGAGTCAGCATCTCCTTAGGTTCCTATTGGAGAGAGGGAGGGACAAACAGTGCAATTCAGCTCCGCGCCCCGCTTTCTCCCAAGCCAGCCTCTGGACAACCGACTCAAAACGCCTCCTTTTGGAGAACTGCTCCTCCCACATATACACTACTACCCTGAACTTCCCGGACCAGAGCCTCTCAGAAATTTGTTCAAGGCCCAGCCCTTCCTTAGAATTAGCCTCCAGCACCAGCACAAGGAGCCCCCCACAACCTCCACCCATCCAGAAAACGGTCTTCCCGACTTACATTCTCCAGAGGAGGGACCAGGTACAGGAGCCCCCACCAGAGTGCTGTAGAAAGGGGGGAGGGTGTCCGGGAAAGGAAGAGGAAGGAAAGGAGTTTACCTGGCGCAAGGAAACTGGACCGCAGACGCCTGAAGGGTGGGGAGGGCGATGGAAGACAGAGGGGCGACTAGAGGGCTCTGAAGGGGGCTCTGAAGGGGCCGAGTGGGCTGAGGAACGTGTGGGGGGGTGTAAATCAGATGGATTTGTCTCAACTTTCAGAGCTGGTGCCTCAAGGGATTCTCGGTCCCTTACCTGCCAGAAAGACGCTCAGCAGCGACACTGCGGTGATCAGGAAGCGTATGGAAAAGACCTCCCTAAGGAACCGGAGGGAGGTTGAGGCCCCAGGCCCTCCCAGGACCTCGTCACCCCCCAGAGTCCTAGACTCAGTCCTGTGAACACGACTCATCCAAATCTGAATCGGCTCAAGCCTCGGTCTTGCATGGCCCTACTTCCCACCCCCGTCAAAGAGCAGCCTCTGGGGCGCCCTTGTCCCTCCCTCTGACCTGTACACACTGACCAGCGCGTCTCCTACCAGGGATAACACCACGCTCAGCACCTGGAAGAGGAGGCCTGGGAAGAGGAAAGCGTGTTCAGAGAGCGTGGTGTTACAGGTTCAGAAAGGGCTCAGGAAGGGCATCAGGGCAGAGCCTGGGTTCGGGAGGGACCCGGGAAGCGAAGAATACGCTAGGAGAATGCGTTGAGGGCGAGAAACGGCTGGATACTCAGACTTGAATCTCAAAGGGGCTGGGGACTCGGACTTGAGAATTGGAGTCAGAGGGCTGAGCGGGAGGATCAGAAGGGACTGGCGCTGGCCTGGACCGTACTCAGGAAGCTCTTGGACACTCGCGGCGGAGGCATCTCCTGCCTCAGATCCAGGGTGGAGAGAAGATCGAGCGGCTCCTCAGAGACTACAGGAGACTCAGTCGGTTCTGCGAGAGCCCAAAGGCTCCATTGGGGCCTTGAGCACCGCAGGCCCATTCTTTCCCCAAGAGCAGGCTCCCCAGCCCAGCCGCCAGAGAGCTGGGCAGCCTCTCAAACAGGCTTTGGACCCGCCGCACCGGAATCCCAGGCCTCTCCCTCCGCATCCCCCCAGGCTCATTCTAGAGTTGGTCCCACTCCCAAGCGGATGCTCCGCCCCCATCCTGAGGTCTGGGTGCGGCCCCCTTTCCCAGACAGCCACTCACGCCAACACTGAGGCGCCTCCTCAGTGGTGCCCAATCACAGAGTTTTCCCCGCCCCTTCCCAGGGCCGTCCATCACACCAAGGCACCGCCCTTCAAGGGATTTCATTTAGCGAACCCCTTGCTAAAAGGTGCCCAGACGTAATCTTATCCCCTCTCCTCGCCAGGCTCCGCCCGTAGGCCCCGCCCCCTCCCTCGGCTCCCCCAGGTTCGACCCCGCCCGCACCCGAGGCCCCGCCCCTCACGGTTGCGGCGCCACAAGCGGTCTGCCCTTTGTGGCTCCGAGACGCCGGCTTCTGCCGAGACCTTCCTGCCCATGTGGGTCCTCCGGGCAGTCCTGGGCTCAGGGCAGGCTCACCGCAGCTGGAGCCCCCAGCCCTTCTGCCCTCGGGTTCCCTTGGCCCCGGCCCAGCTGAATGGTGCCCGCTGCTGTCCCCCGAAATGACGCTCTCTGAAGTGTTGCTGTTGTCGCTGTAGAAGTTGGGTTTGTGCGGGGACGCGGCCGAGCCTGGTCGAGGGCTCCGCCGCATCCTGACCTGGGCTGCCCCTCACGGACGCCAAAGTCGCCGCCGCAGCCGCCAAGGCCCTCAGCCGCTGTGTGCCGCGAGGACCCTACGGATTCTGCGTGAGCCGGCGGCCGCGCAGCCAGACTCAGCCCTCTCACCTGTATCTGGGCCTGCCTGCTGTCGTCATAGAGGAGACCGAGGTCTCCGCCGCACGTCCTGACCGTACGTCATAGAGCTAGCCGTGACGTCGCTGGGAGCCATTGCAATCTCTTACTCTTTCTGATGTTTGACATCACATCTTTTTCCAGAACACGCAGAATGGCGCTCAGCGTAATTTCTATCTTCCTTCCCTGCTGTTTTTCTCATTTGACACTAACATGCTATATGTTTTACTTATTTATTACATTATTGCCTGTCAGGCCCACTAGAAGGTAAACTTTTTGAGGGTGGGGATTTTTCCCCCCACTGCGTATCTTGCAGTAAGTACTTAGATAGCTTAGCCTGTAGTAGGTGCTCAAATATTTGCCAAGGAATAAACATTAAGAAGGATCAGAGCATCATCCAGGGCACTTCTAAATAAACATATSGTCCTTTTGCTCTGCAAGCCTTCAACTCTCTCCTCTCGTTCTAGTTATCAAGACAGAAGACTCTGACCTCAGGATCTGTGGGTTCCTCCCCAACCAGGCCCATGTTCCCAGAGGTCTGTCGGGTGGGAATTGCGCACCCACCAATCACTATACCCACACTCAAACCCCACACTGAACTATGGATAAGAAAATGAGGGGGCTGAGATTGTGGCTCAGCGGTACGGCGCTCGCCTCGCACATTCGAGACCCCGGGTTCGATCCTCAGCACCACATAAAAATAAATAAGTGAAATAAAGGTATTGCGTCCAACTACAACTAAAAAAATAAATATTAAAAAAGAAAGAAAGAAAATGAGGAATCACAGATGGTCACTTCCAAGACACCAGAAGTTCCCAAACTCCTGCTGTGCAACAGAGCACTAGAGCAGCTTATAGAAATTCAGGTTTCCCAGGCATGCCTTGGGATTATACCACTGCATTTCTGGGGTGGGCACAGAAATATGCATTTTAACAACCACATATGTAATCCTGGTTAGGGACCACGCTTTGAAAACATCCAGCACAAATTACACAAAAATATCTAGAAGGGGGAAGGACATCCCTGAGACCACAGAATATGTGACTGATTAGAATTCCAATATCCTGCCCTCCAGCCTATTACATACCATTCCTTCCTTAGAATGTTAGGTAGTGAAAGTGGCAGTTCTTAGAGGGGTGGAGGCACAGGGACAGCCTTTTAAGATGTGTTCTAGCCCAAGGGGAGGTGCTTGTGCCAGGCTCCAGAGAAGTGACATCAGTGCATTGCTTGATTAGATACCACAGAGCTCAGGACAGAAAAAGAGGAAGACCAAGGCACTGCAAACTAAAAATTCTGTCCAAATCTAGTCCCCTTTCTCCCCCACTTACTTAATATTTGTGAACTCTTTTGGTACCAATGTCCCTTGTTTATCAAAAGGGCAAGTGAAACCCCCAACATCTGAGGACCTTGAGGTCTAACCTGGTCCTTGCTTAGAAAGAGAATAGTCCATTCCCCTTGTCTTATATTGTATAGATTCCCAAACTCAGTTGATTTCCTAATAACTGGGGCAAAAAGCAGAACAGGGCTTTCCAACCCCTATTGAGATGGGAATGCTAAAGCACAAGAAGGAATCATAGATAGCTTAAAGCCATACAGCAAGACCTAGTTCCTCTGATGGTCTAATCTTATTTACTGCTGCTGCCCTGAATTCCTTGTATTCAGGTCAAACTGAGCAAATCGTGTGCCCTACAAAGCATCCTGCATTCCTCTCAACTGCTTAGATGCCTACTCTGCTCCCAACTCCTATACTCAAAGCTCCCTCCTCTGGGAAGCCCAACTGCCCTCCTTCTTCGGAGATCCCCACACCTGACCCTTTCCTATTGTGATGGAAACTTCCATATGATGGTATTTCTAGGCCATTTTATCAATAGAGCCCATGAAGCTCCTGGGAGACAGACAACACATCTGACTCACCTCTCTGTGGCTGAATCCCTTCTGTCCATCCTCCAGGATATAGCACAAGTCCTGCATATAGGAGTATAGTAAATAGAGTAAGTGACTAGGCATGGTGGTGGGCCATTATAATCTCAGTGATTTAAGAGACTAAGGCAGAAGCATTGCAAGTTTGAGGTCAGCCTCCATCAATTTAGCAAGATCTTCAACAACCACCACAAAAAGGGACTGATAATGTAACTTAGTGGTAAAGCACTCTTGGGTTCAATCCCCAATACATTCAACACACAGTTTTTGTCACCTATTTTGGGTTCAGACTGTGAGATATATTTATTCCTTCATTGAGCATAATTATTGAACATCTATTAAAAGTCATTAACCCAAGCTAGGAATTTTATGCCCAGAGAAAGGCACAAATACTTCATATTTTACAGTGGTATGTTAAAATTTTTTACATTATGTATGGTGGCACATGCCTGTAGTCCCAGTGACTCAGGAGGCTTAGGCAGGAGGATTACAAGTTCAAGGCCAGCCTCAGCAACTTAATGAAGCTCTTCGAAACTTAGTGAGACCCTGTATTAAAATTTTAAAAAATTATGGACTATTTTAAAGGTTTGCTGACTCCTTGGAGCCCATGTATGATACCACTGGAATCCTAGGACCCCAAGTTAAGGACCGTTTGCTTCTGGTTAAGAAGCATATGGAGCTGGGCGCAGTGGCGCATGCCTGTAATCCCAGCAGTTCAGGAGGCTGAGACAGGAGGATCATGAGTTCAAAGCCAGCCTCAGTGATGGAAAGGCACTAAGCAACTCAGTGAGGCCCTGTCTCTAAATAAAATACAAATTAGGGCTGGGGATGTGGCTCAGTGGCCACATGCCCCTGAATTCAATACCTAGTACCAAAAATAAAACAAAACAAAAAATATGAAACAACTACTATGCTCAAGCTAATAATGTATCCCGTAAAACTAGGGGATTCTATTATTATTCCATCCTTTTACCCAGGCAAAGTAAGTGACTAGGCATGGTGGTGGGCCATTAAGGGTTACTGTGTATCATATTCTGAGCTAGGAAAAATAAATAAAATGAAAACTGATTCTGAGAACACAAAGATGAATAAGAAACAGCATGAGGTCTATGCCCTTGCGGCGGCTTCATAGGCTAGCAAAGACTAGATTTGGGCCCTATCCTCTCCACTCCTATCCTGTCTCAGCTCTCACCCCATGAGGATGGGATGAAGTATGAAGCATTGACCAACTTGTAGCTGAGGAAGGCAGGAAGGACTGAGCTGACCACAGGGACCTTACCCCCACCTCTCCATTATCCCTCCCTCTCCACCCATGACTCCCAGGCCTGCTGCCTGAGTGTTTGACTAAAGGGCAGGGATTGCTGAACCTGCTGGGTGAGTCCAGTGAGTCAGAAGTGATTGGGGTGGACAGTCAGGCAAAGGGTGAGCCAGTGGCACAGGGACCATGGCTCTGACTGTGTGTGTTAGGAGACTAACAGGGCTGCCAGGCACCCATGACCGACAAGTGAAGCTCAGCTTTCGGGGTGAGGCTTGCAAGGATACTGTAAGAATTCTTGGAACTGGACTTCTAACCCTCTATTTCCCAGACCTCTAACCCAATTCCTGGCCATCTCTACAGTTTGTCTCCTTTCTCCCCAGCCTACCACCTCTGACCTTCTGCTTTTTTCCCTCACCCAACCGCTTTTTTCCTTTAAATGTGAGTCTAGTGGGGAATGGACACTGGACCAAGGGTGGAAGAGGCTAATGACTTTTTTATGTGGGTAAGGGCTAATAAATGACTAGTTTCAATCCTGAGCAGGTTTTACCCAGAAAACAAGGAAAATTCGCTGTGGTCAAGAAGCCGATGTCAGTGAGGTCAGTATGGATGGCTCCTGGATGGGTAAAAGCTGGGATGATTCCTTTCCAGGTCCATCCTGGGCTCATTACTGGGATTGGGGAGATGTAGTCTTGGGAAGTGGGGTCAGAAACAGACTTAAGAAATCAGACCCTTGGGCTAGGGATGTGGCTCAAGCAGTAGTGTGCTCGCCTGGCATGCGTGGGGCTCTGGGTTCCATCCTTAGCACCACATAAAAGTAAAATGAAGATGCTTTGTCCACCGAAAACTTGAAAAAAAAGATCAGACCCACTTGGAATAAGTCAGTTCTAAGACTGGAGGGCATTATTTCTTGACTGATAGTTAGCTCTAGATTAGCCCTTGTTTGTTGTCAGTCCCTGGTTGGAAGGATCATTTCAGGTTTGGAAGACCAGTCCTAGGGTTAGCTCCAGGTTTAGGGGTTGGCTTCAATTTCAGGGTTGGGAATAGGGGTGGATTAGGAATAAGGGCCAGCCCAGCAATGGGTGTTACAAGCTTCTTCCTATCCCCAGCTGTTCCGCTGGCCCCATTATGGAGCTCCACTCACTGGGGAAAATCTGTCTGTGCAGGTAGTCAACTGCAGCCGTGTGTTCAGCTCCAGGTGAGTAGGCCTGGGGGAGCCAGGGATGCAGGAGAGGCTGGGATTGACTTACTGACATTTCCCTGGGATACTCTTCTGTCCCATGCTACTCCCCTAGGCCTCTGGGGACCCTGGTGATCTCCCTGCAACAGCTACAGAGTGCTGGGCGTTTGGTGCTACGGGAGGCCCTAGTGGATGAAAACCTGCGAGTGTCCCCTGTGAGTCCCATCAGCACCAGTCTGCCACCCCCAAACCCGAGACCCCCTCTAGATAGAGGATTCCACTTAACCCAGGGAAACTCAAGACCCAGACACTGTGGTATCAACCCCTACCACTGCTAGGGCTCCTTTCATTGCAGTCCCTGTCTGAGTATGATGTGGGCCAGAACCAGGTTCAGCTCTGAGGCCCTAGGTTGTGGCAAAAGGGGAGATAAGTTTTCTGTTGCTCTTTGATCCTGGAGTAGACTCACTTCTTGTGAGAGACAAAGTTGAACACCTGGCTGAACTTTCTTTCTTTCTTTCTTTCTTTTCTTTTCTTTTCTTTTCTTTTCCTTCCTTCCTTCTTTCCTTCCTTCCTTCCTTCCTTCCTTCCTTCCTTCCTTCCTTCCTTCCTT